AAGTATGGCCATTAGTTCAACACATCGTCGGGACAAGTACTGTTGGAGCTATACGAAGACTGGACAGTATACAGTCAAATCTGGATATTGGGTAGCGCGAAATATTTTGTGGAAGGAAGAAGAACCTGAAGTATGTGAACCCAGTATCACAAAGCTCCAAGCATATGCTTGGAAGGTCAGGGATCCTCAAAAGATTTGTCATCTTATGTGGCAATTGATTACGGGACATGTAGCTGTCACGAGCATCCTAAACTACAGACATATGAGATGTGACAAGCATTGTCCTCGATGTGGGGAGCCTGAGGAGACGATCAATCATGCAATATTTGAATGCCCTCCTGCAGTACAAGTTTGTGCACTATCATCTACGCCAACCAATCCTGTTCTGTTTCCAGGACTGAGCACGTACGCAAATATGGATTATCTTTTCTGGAGGAAGAATGCGATAATGGAACCAGAATTGGACAGGGATCCTTATCCTTGGCTAATCTGGTACATCTGGAAGGCTAGGAATGATAAACTTTTCAGAGGCATTGATAGGGATCCCTTGGAGTTAGCGCGCTATGCAGAGAGTGAATGTCAAGCTTGGTTCGAAGCCAATGAGAAGGAAATTCCGGTCTCCATTGGGAATGGAGGAGAAGACGACCAGGACTTAAACCTGGGTAATATATGCATGGTGGATGGCTCTTGGACCTCTACGAATGATTTCAGTGGCTGTGGATGGGTGCTAAATGACGAGTTCGGAAATGGCAAATTATTGGGATTGCGTAATTTTGATCGAGTGGAGTCGGCGTTGCATTCAGAGTTGGAGGCACTGCGGTGGGCAATGGNGTAATATATGCATGGTGGATGGCTCTTGGACCTCTACGAATGATTTCAGTGGCTGTGGATGGGTGCTAAATGACGAGTTCGGAAATGGCAAATTATTGGGATTGCGTAATTTTGATCGAGTGGAGTCGGCGTTGCATTCAGAGTTGGAGGCACTGCGGTGGGCAATGGAGAATATGCTTCAACATTCGCCATGTCAGAGCTTTGGAACTGATTGCAAGGAGATGATCGAGATGCTCCGGAACCCTCATGCCTGGCCTAACTTCTCAACTGAGCTGGAGAGATTGGAGACGCTGAAGATCTGCTTCCCTGATTTCAAGATCTTTTATGTTCCTAGATTACAGAACAGTGTTTCTGATTCTTTAGCTAAGACAGCTAGGGCCTTTTACCGTAAGCTTGTTTTCGTTGGTTGTTCTATTCCGGTCTGGATTCCCAGACCACCTCATGTTGCTTGAGTAATAGATCAGCCGTTTGATGTCAAAAAAAGAAGACAAAGCTTAAGCTTTATTGAATTTCATTCATTCTGCAACTCCATTTTCCATTTCCTATTCTTTTCTCAAAATTCAGCTATCTGATTTTGTCGGAAAGCCTTTATTGACGCATTCAAACTTTGCTTTGGATTCGCTTTCATCTTTTTATGAAGACCTAACTATCTTAGCATTGTTTGCTTATGTAATTTATTATTACTAGATCTTTTCTCCGCGCTATGAGCGGAATATATATCTTTTGAATCTATTTTTTAATTAATTTCCTCTATTTAAAGATGTATAATTTTGGCTTTAATTAATCTTATGTTAACGAAAAAAAGAAAATCCTATTATATATATAATAATTTATTGATTATATATTAAAAATTTATTATATATATATATATATATTTTCCTATTTTTTAATCTTATGTTAGTGAAAAAAAGAAAATCCTATTAAATATATTAAAATTTATTTATTATATATTAAAATTTTACTACATTTCATTGTTTAATAAAATTTTTGACATATTTAATTAGATATTCTCAGTTTCTCTAAAAAAAATTAGTTTTGTGTATAAAATGTTTGAAAATATTTAAATATAAGTTTGGATTAAAAATGTTTAGTCAGCAATTTTTTTTTCAATTTAAATTTTAAAGATTGTAACTAATTTTTTTTTATATATTTTAGTATTTGCTGGTTTTTGGTTTATGGTAAAAATTAAAACTGACCCTTTTGTAATGTTTTAGTTTATTAAGTATATTTGAATTACGAAAATAAATAAAAATAGAATTATTTAAATTAAAAACTAAAGTTACAGACATGTAAATAATGATACTATTTATCACTAAGTTTGTTTCTCTATTTAAAATAAATAAAATCTTGAATACTGTAGTTTTACAAATAAGATTTAAAATTTATTAAAACAATGAATTGAACTGCGTTGAGGAGTTGTTTATTATTAAAAACCGATTGATTTAAATTTAAAATGTATAATTGGTTATTAAAATTTTTAAACAACTATATGTTACACTAATACAATGGATTTAAATAATAAATCAGTGTAATATTACAGATTAATTATAAAATAACTATATTATAATAACTGAGTGATATATTATATAATAATTTTCTATTATTTAATTAGACATATAATTTTAGATATATTAGATCTAGCCGATTTAACTGTTTTTGGTATAAACAAATCAGTTTGGTTATCAATTAGCTATACTGGATTACATCTATTTCGTTGACTTCAACTATAATATTATGTTCAAAATATACTAAAATTTTGATTAATCTTCCTATGCGCATTTAAGTTGTTTCCTATTTGTTTTTTAGATATGCAAATATATTTTAAGTACTTAAATTTATAATTTATAATTTATAAATATATGAATTATGTTATTATACTTTGATTTATGTGTATGAATTTAATTTTGTTTTGAATAGTATTATTTATATCATATATTATATATATATGTAAGTTTATAATATATTTTATGTTTGTATCACATAATTTAAAATTATTAATAGTTTACTTTTCTATAGATAAATTATTTTTTTAAATTTAATTATTATTAATATCCTCAAGCATTATAAGGGGATGTTTGTAACATCTATTATACACTCAAGCATTGCGAAGAAATATTTTGACTATACAACTAATCACATTCCTAAAATCTAGGAAAAATATTATTATTATTATCTGGTCATAAATTTTGGATAACTCTTCTTTGATCAAAATGTTATTTTTAATTCTTATTATCTGTTGTTAATTTTTAAATATGCATTGAAAATATTTTTCATCATACTTATTAACTCTAAATATCTGCATCCAGAATTTTATTGATAAATCATATACTGTAAATAACTAAATATATTAAATTTAATATTCTAGCAATGTGTAGTTTTAGAAGGGAAATTATATGTATTTTAACTAACTTAAAGACTGTGTTAATTGTTTACTGATTAGTACTCATAACTATCCTTTTTAAATGTCCTTTGTTTAAGATTATTTGTTGGAAAAAATAGTAAAGTACATATCTGCAATCAGTAATAAGCTTGTAAATTGTAATTCTACAATCCGTCCTTTCACAGCAAATTATGAATCCAAACCGTGGGTAATCCTTTAGCTAACAGCATTAGGTACTTGTAGCTTACCTGACTTTCTAAAATATAAAATTTGCACATATATTAATAAAAATTAAACACATATTTCGATTTATTATCTTTTGTTACTTTTATTTGCTTCCCAATAAAATCAAGCCACTCGTTTTTCATATTTGATTTATGTTTCAATTTTCAAGTGAAATGCATTAATTAAAAACAGAACATCAATCTTTTGTATGCATTATGCAAGTAAAAAAGTTTTTTCAAAATAAATTATTTGTATAGAGAGAAACTACAATAGAAGGTTTTATGTATTTAGGTTGATACGCATAATTAATTATTGTTAAAAAAATATTATGTGTATCAACCTAAATACATAAAAGCTTTTAAAACTCATTATACAAATAATTGAAATGCATTAATTAAAAATATTATGTACACAAGAAACAACTTTCTTCTAGTTCCTAATATTATGATACACTTAATATTTTTCTTCTTTTTAATTAGAACGAAAAAGGAGAGGATGGTATCGGTAAATAACTTAGAATATCTATTTAGTAAATAAACTAAATTTTATATTACTTTAGGTTTATAACTAATTCTAAATCTAATATAAAGATAAGAAAATTTCAAAAAATGATAAACTAATTGATGTTTAGTTTGAGTTTTTGTATTACTATTATATATAATTGATAAGTAGATTGTACTTTGATCAACTTAACCTTTGGTAAAAGTTTTTTTTTTTCATTCTTCCTCTAAATTTTACATTTTCATATGCTTAACACATAAGCTAACTATGAAATGAATCAGTATTATAGCACAAAATCCTTGCTAAAACCTCAGTTTTGCAGTAGAAGCAACAACCCCAAGCCAAGAAAACAAAATTAGAAGTTTGACAAAGCAATAGCTAGACAATGAAACTAAAAAAGCTTCATATCATCACATATAAGTAATGCAAGTCTACAACATTTTTTATCTATACCATAAGCAGCCACACAAGTAAGAGTAGATTTCTAGCTCGTCTGTGTGAAACCTGCAATGCCAAAAACCAAGGACAAAGTTTGTCATCAACCAGCTTGAACGTTTATCCCATCTGCAGTGAAGGGAAGAAATATTTCAGGACCTGGAAATAGACAATGCAACAATCAAGAAGTTTTAGGAAGGATTCTGAAACAATCATTTACAGAATTTTTTCACAAGTGAGTGCACATAAAAAAAGGAATAATAAGTTATGTTACAACAGGCCAAGTGTCTGTAATGAATTCAACGATGTCAGAAATTATCTCCTTCATTAATTTGCACCATTACAGTTGGCAGCTGAAACATAGATAACATTAACCATAAGAGGAAGAAAAACGAAACAAAACAGATTGGTGCTGATGCGGTGAGCGTTCCAAAGCTGTATATTAAGAGGAAGATTTCTACTACTCTCTTGGCCCCAAATTCTGAAATGCAAGAATCAAAAGGTATGAAATCTAACGTAGGTACAAACTCTACAAACCATAAGCACATAATGTATTATGCATAATTAGTTTTATAATACGCATAGGGCATACCTAGACAACTGCTGCTCCAACTTCATCCGAAGGATTTTAGAACTTGTAATCCGGGTTGTCACGAAGGCTGAGTTTTGACAGGAAAAGGCAGTAAGAATCCCAGTCAGTTCGTCTTAGATATTTCAGTAGCTTCTTCCATTTCTGAACCATAGCAAAAAGTCCCTTCCGTGAATGCTTGTCCTGCGGTTATACAGCCACAAGGTATATAGCATTAGGTGTACATAACAATATCGAAATAAACTTGGAGTTTTACCTTTTTGTGCAGAGAAGACGATAGATGCTTAATTTTAGTAGTGAGCTGAGCAACTACAAACGAGAAACAAAAGACAATATAACCAAAAGCCATCTTAGGAAATGTGATCCTTTTGATAGCTTATAAAAAAGCCAACACAGATCAGATCCATTCGCCTTATACATATAATTTACCTTGCACACGTGCAGAACCACAATCTGATTCCGACATCTTGAAATCTTCCCTGATTTTCGTGAGCTCAATTTTCATCTTCTTTGCAGAGGGATTATTATCTATGTGGAAGTACTTCATTGATGAGGCAACATAAAAACAGATCAATATCCACAATTTATCTAATGGTCGCAACAGATCAGCAGAGCATTGTACAAAACCATCATAACCAAAGAAAAAAAAAACAGAGAACCAAATAAGCCTTTAATTTCGAACTACTTAGATTGACACGATTTCACAAAGGTGATAAACTTGCGCTTGTAACACACAAGATTTTCAGTAACAACTTCTTGCCTCTCCTCTATAGGATTGAAGCATGAGTAGTCACCTCCAGTGGAGCCCAAGTTGTAAAGAGAAGAGCAAATAAGAGAGCTGGGATGATGTATAAAGCAAACACGATCCATGCCATGTTTCTTGTGGTATGTTATCTTCACTTGTCCTATGTTTTAACAAACTATTGTCAAAAGAAGAAATTAAAAACTGAAACTTTAACTAATCTATGAAACTAACAAAAACTCAAAAACTTAAAACTTTTGGCGAAGAAAAGAAATAAACTGACATATGAAACTGAACTTCATTTAATGAAGACAAACACGAAACATGAAAACAGACAAATAACAACAAACCTTTTCAAGATATTTCTCTCTATGTCTCTCAGAAAAACCTTAACGATTTGAGTTCAGTGTGTGGTTTCCCAAACTCTCAAATCCATATCTGCATCACAATAGGGCGAAAACACTAATAAATCAAGCCATTACCAACAACAAATATATATAGCTTCTGAGAAAAATGAAAACACCATATTAGCAAACCAATAAGAGAGATTTTCAAAAAGAAAACTATTGCAAAATATGCATTTCAAGTTTTCCGACTATTTGATTATATTACCCAAAATTACATTGCTTTACAGTATAGATGTATCAATAGCTCAACAGCCAGTTATGATTTCTAGAGGCAACACCCCAAACACAACCACATTGGTCTTCATTAGCTATTCCATTCACAAAGAACTCGAAGCTAGATAACTGCAAAAATAACGAAGGTTACAATACACAAACAAAAAAAGGCAAATCTATGTCTCAAAATAAACCTCTCGCTTCTCTAGGTTAAAAAAAATTAAGAAAAAAAAGCACCTCTTTTTTCCTCTTCACCAGATAAATAGGCCATCTGGCAGAGATAAATAGGCCTTGTTCATCTCTGTACCCTCTTCACCAGAAAGGGTGGAGTTCAGTTGAAATTGTTTCCGTAATCAGATCCGGTGGTTCTGGAGCGTGCTTGGCGAAGAGGTAGATAATTTTATGATAAATGGATCTGGGGAGAAGAGGGTTATAAAGAAATTAAGAGGGAAATGATGAAAATAAGCCATAAATGGAGGCTTGATTACACATAGGTGAATCGTTTGTCGTTTGATCGACAATCCTGGAAACCGAAGAACAACAGACGAAAAGATCTGGAGTCGTCTTACGTTTCTAGGTTTTCCTTTTCTTTGGGCTAAACAGACCAAAAAAATTCAAGTTAACGGTTCAAAAAAATTATCAGAATCCCAATACGAAAATGGTCTGTGACATGGCCGAAAGAAAGAATCTTAGTGGTTGATTTTAATATTTGACGTGGCATAGCTCACAAGGCTTTATTAAGAGCTTTTAATAGTGTAAGATAATTAAAGAGGATGGTCAGTTCCCTCTAGTTGTATCCAAAAACATTGAAGTTAATGAAATCAAGTTGTTTTTAAAAAAAAAGACGTTGCAAGATTAATTTGAATTCTGGCCAGTACTGGATGCAAGGTTGGGCTTTACTTACTCACGTTACAACTTCTATTTTCCCTTTTGTTCCTTTGTCAATACACTTCCATTCGACATTTACAAAATATTCTTTTCTTTGTGCTCAACATAATCTACATCAAGAGAAATTTGGTAAAGAAAAATGGATAATGTAATTCCTATTCAAATATACTGTCCCAATCCGAACTAATTTTGGTATTCTTATAAGTGAAGTCAAGTTTATCATTTGAGGTTCCTACCGATGATTTAACTATCTAGATCTTAAAAATCCGTTTAACATTAGAAAAAATATTTTATTGAATAAAAATTTTGAAGAAGATTTTAGCAAAATATTAAAAAAGAAAAAGAAAGTGTAGAAAGATATAATCATAACCGTGCCTATTTGGTTACAAATAAACAATGGCTTAGGGCACCAATTTTTTTTTGGTACCGGTTAGGGCATCAATTTGATTTCAGACAAAAATTAGAAGCATCTTTTTTTAAAAAAAAAAAAAAAAGCTAGAAGCATGTTTACATATATATTTTTCGTATGGTGTACGTACATCAATTTTTCTTCTTACAAAACAATCTTTCTTTATCTATATATATTCAGACACTTTATATTTAAATTTCACTGCACTGAGTTATATTTTCATCAGCTTTTTATTTGATAGTTAATAGTTATTCCATTTGTTACTTCTTAAAAAGTGTACACGATATAAAATTTAATATAAATTACCGCATTATGTATCATATGTGTATATATATTTTTTTTTAGAATATTTCTAAACATTTTAATTTGTGCAATTTTTTTATTAATTTTTTTCTTTCAGTTTTGTAGTTTATTTGTTAGAAAATATTTAAACATTCTAAACATTTAACTAATTTTTTATTTTGCTTAGGACAACAAGAACTATTCGCACGGCTCTGGATATAATGCATTTGAGCGGATTATAAAAGTTATCTTCTCTATGTCTATGTCTTCCTTTAGGCGGTGTTATTGGTTAGTAGATTTAAAATGAATTCATAGTGTTATTTAATGATTGATTTTAAATTTTTAATCAAAATCAAGTGTTATTGGTTATTGTATTTAAAATATTTTATTAAAGATTTTTGAAATCTAATGTTTTTAGTTCTTTTATTTACAATCTCTTCAATAAAAGAATTTAAAATCTATTGTTATTTAGTTTAAGATTTAAATACAAGATTTTTGAAATCTAATGTTTTTAGTTCTTGTGTTGTTCATGTTTGATAAAGGATTTCAATTCCTTTGACTTGAAATATGTCCAATGGATTTGGATACAACTTTCAGAGTAAAATATACGACTTCAAATCCAATGTATTGCCTCATGATTCTATAAACAGTTTCAGTTAAAACCAAGACTCAAATGAAAAAAAAAAACATGACGTGATGAAAATCACTCATGTAGTTGCAACTTGCAACATTTCTCACTTTTAAAGGCTGTGTCTCTCATTTTGTTTATATATCAGCGTCTGGCATTTTTATCTCTATCCGTCTTTTGACCAAACCCAGATTTCTTTACATCAATCAAGTTAGGATTTTCTTTTTTACCAGTACATCGAATATGATATTATATTTTTCACAGCTCATAATAATAAATGGAAAATATTGTTTTCATTGTGTATCAATGGTGATCTTATGATAATATTTTTTTTTCTTGAAGATACATACAAAAAGGTGATCTAAGAAAATAATGTATGAAGGCTTTATTTTTTCATAATAATTTTAATGTGACTTAATTTAATTTTGTAATTTTAAAACTTTGTAATTACAATTCAATTTAGAATCCTTAAAAGAAAATTTAAAATTATGTTAATAGAAATCAAATCATATTATGTTGAATTTATATATACATTCACAGATATTTAAAATATCAAAAACAAATCATATATTTTTAGATAGTAAAATAAATATATAATTTTAATCTACTTTATTTTAAATCCAATAGAGTTTATTTCAACTTATATAACCAATAACCACCTTTAAGACCATGATTAACCCCAGTCTTTTAACTGGAGTTCTTAGCTTTAGTTAAGAGACGGTTCTTAATTTTTCTTAAATTTTAATTAAGAAAAGCTAATAACCGTCTCTTAGCCGATAAATGTAACCAAAAACAAATTGTCAAATCATTAGTTAAGAACCCCGGCTAAAAGAACGTGATTAATCATGCCCTTAGAGAGAGTGGAGGGAAAGAACGAATGGAGAAGCCGAACCTTGCTTTTTGTCAAACATATACTTCATAAATTAAAATGGAGTGGGCGGCCCAAAGTAAGGGTTTACAATGACAGAAACAGAATAAAAAAGATGAAGATGGGCCGAAACAGTCGAGATAGATGATGAATGGGCAAGGGCCCTTTTCGCAAGACTATCGCCTCTCGATTTTGAGATCGAGGGATGAAGGGGAAGGAAATATCAGAGAAAGCAGACGAGATCTGTTGAATGTCCCGAAGAATACTAAAGGTCTCTTTAGTTTGCATGTTGCCGTTGATAGCTCGGATGAGCGACAGGTTATCGGAGGCCATCTTGAGTCGTCTGTACCCAAGTGAAGCTGCCTTGAGGAGAGCTGATCGAAGCGCTAAAGCTTCAGCCATCAGCGGTGAGTTGATAAAGTCCATGGTGGAGAATCCCGATCGAGGTTCTATTGTGTCCGGTCCGGCAAAGACCCAAGTCTGGCCAGCTTTTTATGTTGCCTTGTCCCAGGCTGCATCATATTTACAATCGATCATAGGTTCCTCAATCTGACGGTGTGATCTTCCTCTGTTTAGATCAGGTAAAGGTTTATTCTTGCTCTGCTTTGTTGATATTCCCAACTCCATTCTCTCACTAGGGTTAACCCTTTGGTAACAACCTCCATAGGTGAGAGGCTTCTGTTCTCGAAGACTAGGAGGTTGCGATCTTTCCTTAGGAACCAACATATCCATGGGAGGACTTTGTAGGTAATATACATGAGGGAGGGAGACAAGTCGAGTTCCAAAACTGGAGCAAGGTCTTTTCAAATCTGTCGTCTGTGTCAGCAGCTATGTGAACTGCGTGGGATAAAGAGACAAGGCTGCCAAACTTCTCGAGCGAATGGGCAGGTAAAGAAAGTATGTGTTGCCGTTTCCTTTTCATTGTATCTTGAGCAGCTACTCTCTGTTTTAATGTCTCTTTTCTGTAAACTCTCACCTAATGGTAGCGCTCTTTGTATTATTGACCAGAGAAAAACCTTCATCTTCGGCGAACAGTTTTTAGACCACACGTCCCTTCTCCAATTGAAAATATCATTGGTGTTGGTTTGTAGGGCCATTGATACACTAAAA